GCTTCTTCTTGTTTTAAAGTAATGTAAATAATATAATATATATACATATATGTATATATATATATATACATATATACATATATGTATATATGTATATATATATGATAGATAGATAGATAGATAGATAGATAGATAGATAGATAGATAGATAGATAGATAGATAGATAGATAGATAGATAGATAGATAGATAGATAGATAGATAGATAGATAGATAGATAGATAGATAGATAGATAGATAGATAGGACCTTCTAGGCTTCTACAACCCCCATTGTGTTTTACATTACAACCACTCATTCACACACTAGTGGTGATGAGCTACGTTGAGTGTGTTTACATGCAGCCAGTAACCCTTTTAAAACCCAAATATTCACAATAACCCGGTTACGCACGGCCTTGTAAACACCCCCAAAAACCCGGATATTCTCTTAACCGGGTTTTTAAAAACCCGGTTACTACACCTGGGGTAACCCTTTTCTAACCCGAATGTTTGGTCGTGTAAACGCATATCGGGATATCCCATCAAAGTATGTGTTCTGCTCATGCTCTGTTCGCAAAGAATCTTGGTCTTTTGAGTAGCGAGACGTCTTGTATGCGCCAGAACACCGGAAGTAAACAGCTCTCTCTGTATTTGCCATTTCTTGCTCACGTACTCTCCTTCGAATGAAGGCCAGTACGCACAGTCGTTGTAAGAGCTGCTGGTGGGTCAATACCAGCACTAAAGCATAAACAAACGCGGTTGCTATCTCTTCCAAACTGGGAAACATGTTGTTGTTTTCACGGATACCGGAACAAGAAGAAACGGAAATGACGCATATTGCGTCTGGACGTAGTCCACACGTCCTGACGCTACCCCAACGTCCGCATTTAAATCGGGTTATGCAAGTTAGGGGTAACTCTTTCTATTTATGCTTGTAAACGGGTTATTCTGATCAACTCAGAAACCCGAATACCGACCTTAACCCGATCATAACCCGGATATTGGCTGCAGGTAAACGTAGTCATTGTTGCCACATCAGACCTCAGAGACCATCAGACCTGGAGTGCTCTATTAGCAAAACAGTATATTGCCTGCATTTCATTGAGTGCCTTTTAGAGCTCTAGAACCCCCCAAGGCACTTTCCAACACAGTCAGTCATTCAACCACGCACACACACATTCATAGACTCAGTGGAGGTTATCTGCAGGTCCCTTCTGATGGTAGGGCAGCTGGAACGCCGCTCTACCTGTCGGGCCAGAGGCATGCTTACTGGCTGTTTCCCAACCCGCATGCCCAAACAGATCACCTTTGGTCTTTAGCCTGGTGTGCTGGACATAAACAGGCCAGAGTTAGCACAAAGCTAGTTTCTATCTGTGCTCTCTATACAACACATCACAAGACTAAGATTAGAGAAAGACAATTAAATGTATCTTTTAAATAGAATATCTACTAAAAATTGCAATGTAGCCATAGTAACACCACCATACGTGTGTGTGTGTGTGTGTGTGTGTGTGTGTGTGTGTGTGTGTGTGTGTGTGTGTGTGTGTGTGTGTGTGTGTGTGTGTGTGTGTGTGTGTGTGTGTGTGTGTGTGTGTGTGTGTGTGTGTGTGTGTGTGTGTGTGTGTGTGTGTGTGTGTGTGTGTGTGTGTGTCATGGTGGATGGCTGCTTATATTGATCCAGGATTCTCTGGAGGTTTCTTCCTGTTAAAAGGGAGTTTTCCTCTCCACTGTTGCTGCATGCTTGCTTTGTATGAGGATTGCTGTAAAGACTCTGACACTAGTCAGTGACTCGATACGACCTGCTGGGCTCCTTATATAGGAAACTTTTTACTGATTGGCTTGATGACCTGACCTGTACTGGAATGTTTACCATGTGAAGTGTCTTGAGACGACTCCTGTCGCGATTTGGCACTTTATAAATAAACTGAATGGTCAAGAGTAAGGGCCGTCACAAAGTTGTTGTTTAACGATGCAAATGCATGTTTAAAATGGCTGCCATGTGTTACTTGCGTCCACTTGAATTGTTGTATGTGCGTGTCCCCAGAATTTGCACGACACATCTGAACACTGCAGCATTCGAGTAACCAGTAGGTGGAGTTGACAAAACGAGTGAGACACACTCACCATGGCGACTCCGTCTCTGGTTTTAGGGGTCTTTCACACCACCTAGATGGTGATCTCAAAATTAACCAATTAGTGAATGCTTTTACTGACACCATGTTTGTTTTGGTTGTTCCCACAAACCCAGCTCTCTATCCGGTCTAATCTCCCTAGTGCACCCCCTAGTGGAACATTCCACTACTACATGCAGTGCAGTGCCATGAAGCAGCAACAAAGATGGAGGCTGCTGCCCTTGCCAATGTGAGGTTAGACAGCGAGTATATTCCAGGCCTAAAACAACATCAGTTTAAAAAGAAACAATGAAAGTCTAGCAAGATGCAGTTTCTTCTGCTCCATGCAGTCCAAATGTGATCCTGTCAGATGTCAATTATGCTAATAAACACAGCCCCCCCCCCCCCCCCCCCAAAAAAAAAAAACTTTGCAACCAAACAAAGAGTCACACATGTTTAGTTGGACCGCATTTTGCTTTGAATACGACACACATCTGCTGTGGCATTGTTTTGATGAGCTTCTGCAGTGTCACCAGATTTGTTTGCATCGTTAAATGCTTTGATGTACTTAACTTTTAGTTCACCATAAGTTAAAAATTATTATGTAATCGGTTTCCTCATAATTTTTGAGTTCATTGAACTTATTCCGGTTGTATTAATTTTTCACCAAGATCTTGCATGGTGTGTCTCCTTCTTCACATCCCAAAGATTATCAGTGGGGTTAAGGTCTGGACTCTGGGGGCCATTCCATGTGTGGAAATGGTGTCTCGTGCTGCCTGAACCACTCGTTCACTATTTGAGCCTGGTGAATCCTGCTGTCATCGTGGAACATGGCCGTGCCATCAGGGAAGACAAAAATCTCCTTAGATGTTTTTTTTCTGCTTGATGCGATCAGACCCTTCTCACACAGAACATCTGTTCCACGACCACCAGATGTGTCTTTCCACATGTTTGTTTAAGAAATGAGAAGCAGCTCGTTGCAGCTGAAAGAGTCGGCCTTTCCAACAGGCTCCTGTTTGCTTAGAAAAATCCAGCTGGAGACTTTTTCTCCCAGATAGTTTATATCTGCAGCTCCCAGCTCAGGTGAGTGAACAAAAACCAAAATGTTTCAGTTTCCTCATACGAAGTTATTTTGTGTCCTGGAAATATTGCTTTTTAAAATGTGGTCCTTTATTCAGCAGAAAAAAAACGTTTAAAAACAAACAGAAGTTTCAGATAAAAGCTTTTGGTCATCACACACATTTTCTTCTGTCAGTGAGAAGGTTTAGTCTCCCGTGTGACCTTTGACCTCACGATGTAGCGCTTATGGAGCTATCGTCGAATATATTAACTAAGGTATATCAAATTAAGAAACTAGAGCTAAAACTATAGTGGGCTTGTTGGATTAACCACAGACATATGAATTAGTGAAATAACTAATAAATAAATAAATAAATAAATAAATAAACAACAAACGAAACGTTTTTGTGATGTTTCCGTCTGTAAAAATGGGCCTCAAACGGATGTGCTACACGTTAAAGCTCAGCCTTTACTTCGTTTCGTCTCGCGCGCGCTCGTTGCTCATAAAACGCGATGGGGTCAGAGTTGAAGTGCGGTAATAACAGAACGGCTGTTTTTAAAAGAAGCCGTCATCATCAGCGCTGGATCACCACAGAACAACTAGTTATCTGTGTTCTTCGTTGTTTTGTAAAGTTATTTAAACCAAACGTTCACTAAAACCTTTCTGTCAGAGTGGCAGAACCAGAACCGGGTCGGGTTATTGTCACTTACCAACACAGAGTCTAATTTAAAACTGTTACAGCGGTGTCATTTCCACCAAGCAAAGAAAGTGGCGCTAAACTGGAGTCACTGATGCGCTAAGAGCGGAAGAATGCTCTGATGAGCCCGGTTCTTTCCGTGACTCCGTTGAAGCTCGACGCGGTTTTGCAATAATAATTTCAAGCTTTTCGGTGCCGGTGTTCCTAATTACGAGCTCCCCACAGGGCGGAGGCCCGGAGGGGAGGCCTGCGGTTTGAGGGGAGGCCGTTCACGCTGAAAGTATCCGGAGCATCCATGAGCGAGGAGGCGCAGAGGTTTCATCACCAAAACATCTGGCTTCTTCACCTCAGCCGAACCTCCATCAGAAATGTCTGTGACCAGAGATGGATGAGGGCGGTTCGGCCCGCTCATCCCCGTAAATAACTGCGCGGATCCCATTAGGTGATGCGGCTGATATTTATTTGTCATAAATAACAAGAGCTGCACGCGCGCATCGGATCCGATGACCCACACCAACCCAGCAGCTAGGAGACACCAGTAAACGTCTGGACTCCGAAATCCTCCATGGTGACTAAACTCATGGGATCGGCACCGGTGTTGGCACCTCTAACGAGCCCAAAGCAGAACCAAGGCGCGTGCACGCTTCAGGGTCGGCAGCACAGGCAAGACCCTTAAAATGGAACCAACCGCCCTGAGTTCGGGTGATATTGCGGTTGTGAACGGGCCCAAAAAGCAGATCAATAAGAGGCGGAACCATGGAACTGATTTAATGAAACCCCGGCCTGCCAGCAAGATGGTGAGAGGCTGGAGGCCGGTCTGATGGTGACGGTCTGATGGTTCCGAACCAGAAGGTTCTGCTAAATCGTTTGTTCTGAATATTAAACATGTGTTGAAATATTTTAGGTGGACAGAAGAGAGAACGAAATGTTCTGTTAGAGCACGTAAACGGCAGTCAGAGAGGAAACTGGGGCGCGCGCGCGTGCTAGACCTGCGCTCGTCAGTCCAGAAGCTAAAGTTGGACCAATCAGTTCTAAGCTCGCTCACACATCCGACAGTCCCCCGCGCATTGAGACGGGACACTGTCTCACTATAGAGAGCAATGAGAGAGAGAGAGAGAGAGAGAGAGATGAGAGAGAGAGAGAGAGAGAGAGAGAGAGAGAGAGAGAGAGAGAGAGAGAGAGAGAGAGAGAGAGAGAGAGAGAGAGAGAGAGAGAGAGAGAATCTTTTAATGTCTCTTGTCTTCTGTCTTGGACTCGCGGTGTTTGCTAGATAATGTCCGAGAATGTCCATTTCTGGGACTCTGAGCAACTACTTCGTGGACTCCATCATAAGTCACGACAGCGATGAACTCTCGGGCCCGGCTCGCTTCTCTACCGTGCAGTTCTCTGGTCCCAACTCCGCTGTGATCGCGGGCGCGAGGCAGCCCGTGAGCGCAGCGCACGCGGACCTCCCCCATCCCGACTCGTATCCATCCTGCAGCTTCCAGCCCAAGCCTCCGGTCTTCTCCTCGTCCTGGGGCCCGTTCAGCCCGCACGGACCCAGTGGCCTGCCAGCTGTCTACCACCCCTACATCCCGACCCAGCACGTGCCCGCCACAGATGCGCGATTCCTCCGCTCATGGCTGGAATGCACACCGCGCGACTCCGAGTCCGTGCCAGGTCAGGCAGGCCAAGTCAAGCTGGAGCCGCAGCTCGGCCGTCAAGGAGGCGAGATCCCAGTAAAGACCAGCGGACAGCATCAGCACGAGACCGCGTACATCTTGGAATCGATCACCTCAGCCGGGCGCGAGCTGAGTCACCATCCGACCACCCTGGGACCGCTGCTCGAGGACAGTAAGGACGGCTGCGACGGGAGTCAGGACAAAGACAGTGTGGATCAAAGTAAGTTATGGAGGCAGGAAATGTGTGTGTGTGTGTGTGTGTGTTGGGGGGGGGGGGGGTGGGGGGCTGTAAATGCTTTGGAAGCTGCCATTAAACTAGAACAAAGAGACGGAGAGCTACCCCCGAACACACACACACACGCGCGCGCGCGCTCTGTGAGTTCACAGAGTGAAGGGCCAGGTCCACAACTGCAGGGTGGAGAATAAAAACTGGATTATAATCTAATCTGGTTAGGGTCACAATATAAACATTTACGTATCAATGACGTTATCAGGTCCCGGACAGACACGGGGCAGCAGGGATGACGTTCGTCCCCTGCTCCTGACGCTCCTTCACCTCCAGCAGCGTCGTCGGCGCTTCACGCCACGTAGCTTGTTTCCTTCTGCTCAGAGGGATTGGGAGGACCCTCACCTCAAACATAACATATGCGAGTTGTACACATCTACGAATTATTATTCTGTAAGGGAATAAACAACAAAATCTGTCTAATCTCTTTCCGCCGGTCCTGGTGAGCAGCAGCGGGTTCGGAGCGTAGGCCCAACTGGTTCTGCTGACGCTGGAATATGGACTCAGATCTTAACCCTCTGATGCATGCATTATGAGATCTTCAACCATGATTTTTAAACATTTTTTTCATTCATCTTTAGGTGTGAATGAAACAAATTTCAACAAATATTTTTTGTAACATTTTGTTAATTTACAAATAATTTATTACATGTCCATCTCAGTGGACAGCGTGCATTCTGAGCATGAAATATGGTGGCTTGACTTACTGAAGTCCAAATGGAGGGGCTCACGTGCAATAAAGTCTTCAACAGCTGTGCTTAATAGCAAAAATGACAATTTTGAGTACCTGTCCACTGTATGACCATTATGCATCAAAGGGTTAAACATACCTCCGGAAACATTTATGTCGGGTGTTGTATAATAAAAACTTGTACACACACACACACACGCGCGCGCGCGCGCGTGCGCGCGTGTGTGTGTGTGTGTGTGTGTGAAAGTGCTAAAAAGCACAATGAGCCACTAATAAACAAAACTTAATTAAGTAAATTATTATTATTATTATTATTATTATTATTATTATTATTATTATTATTATTGTTATCAAGCCATTCTGACAGGGCTCTAGAGGGTTTGTTCATCCCCCATAAATGATACACGGTCGTGGGAAGTGTGCACGTGCTTTTAGAGGCAGACCCACTTACTGTGAAGTTACTCGCAAAAACCGTTGAAAAGGTTTTATTGGGAGTGTGTGCATGCCTCAATCTGCCAAGCCAGTTAAAACATGTGCAGTCACATGTTAGTTTGCTATTTACTGCTGAGCTATTTTATAACGTCATTTTAATCTACTTATTTTATTGTTTTATCTAAATATTACTTGTAAAAATGTTGACTGATGAAGAAAATATTCAATCAAGTGTTTAAGCAGGTCTGAATGTTCAGCTGTGTTTCCCTCACCCTGATGACTCTGAGCAAGGCTTCAGTCATGCACCACACACACACACACACACACACACACACACACACACACACACACACACACACACACACACATACACACACACACACACACACACACACACATACACACACGCACACGCACGCACGCACACACACACATACACACACACACACACACATACACACACGCACACGCACGCACGCACACACACACATTCACACACACACACGCACACACATGTAAACACACACACACACACACACACACACACACACACACACACATACACACACGCACACGCACGCAC